GCAAGTAGAGTGATACTTTGTGGAAAAGCTGGCAAAGTTTCCCTCAGAAGCTGCAGTCTGTGACTTCAGACGGTACATTCATTCTCTCTCTGCTATCTGCAGTACTGAGAAGCAAGTATCTTTTGCAACAGTTGTCTCAGGGTTATTATTTTACTAATAATTATGGTGTTTGTAAAAGATATTTCCTTGGCATGTTTTTTCAACAAATGGAGTTTTGCTTTCATGGTTTGGCCATTGAGGAAGTGGAAAGAGCTGTGACCCTGAGGGCGACCCTGACTGCTTACCCTGGGGGCCTGAGCTGCGTCTCTGTGCGGGCTGGCTGCATTGCTTTTCACTGTGTCAATTGTGCAAGTCACAGAAAAGTTTTCTGGCTGAGCCAGACGCCCTGAGCTTTTCCTGAAGGAGCTCTGCAGCTGTTCTGCAGTGACCATTTAATGTTAAAATTTTTCTGACTTTGTAATAGCTAAAACTTCCTTTTCCTATTCTTTGGCTGGAAAGAATAATTTGGATTTTCCTTTTTGTTTCAGCACTGTAGATGAGTATTCACCTCACCGAAAGGTAACACAAACCTGGTTGTTGCTGGTTGCTAGCTAACTTATCATCTCAGTTTCTTCTCCTCTGCCCACTTTACTCTCTTTTCTTGACTTCTCAATTGAAAGTGACTGGTGACCAAAAACATGACAGGATACATCAGTGAGGTTAGACCTGCAATGTTGCTTAAGGAATTTTTTTTTTCCTGCCGGTACAGCCTGGATGTCAGCTGCGTGAGCTAACCTGCAGTGGCTGTGACAGTATTAGCATCTTAACAAGATGCTCTGAGATGTCAGAATTCAGGAGAGGCCTGGGAGTGCGTCCCCACTGGGCTGGAGAGATGTAGCAACCTGGGCAAACCAGACTGAGTACAGGCATTGACTATGGATGTCAAGTAGACAGAGCAAAGGAGGGATTTGTTGTGACAGGGACAGAGAAAGAAAGAGAGGAACATGAATCTGTCTATTTAACTGGAGGGAGAAGATGCAGACGGAGAAAGTTGGTGTGCAGACTGCACAGAGGTGAATTGCTGTGCTCGTCAAATTTACTGGGCTGAAGCTGAAGTGTGTAATAAGCTTAAAATGTTACTGCAGAAATGTGGAAGGCAGAACATGAGATTGTACTGAAATTGCTAAATAGGCTGATTGGTACATACGAAATGTATATAAGAATAAGCGTGTAAGATACAGGCTCTGAACATGGCTACAGAGAACTTCAATCGTGCAGGCTGCTTAGCCTAGCCATATCCTACTTCCTCCGAAATCCCCACCTTGGCCATTTAGTAAGGCAACTCCCAGTTCACTGATCCAAGAAAGGGTGGGTGGATTTCTTATACAGAAACCTTTTTGGCCAGACGTATGGGCTGAATGCTGTGTTGTGTGAATTACTGCTTTGTAAAGGGCAAGGTTGCAGAGAGTCACTGTTGTCTTTTTTTTTTTTTTTTCTCCCACACTCTCTCACAGAATAAAACCTTTTTCCACCAGTTCAGTGTAAAGGAGAACTGGCTGCAGCACAGAGGAACCATGAATGAAACAGAAGAAAGTAAGTATGATTGAAAGCGCAAGGGGAAAATTCCAAAACTGCAGAATTGTTTCTCAAGGACTGCCCATGATGTAAACTTTTTTTAACTGACCTACAGCTTCTGAGCTGGACCACAAAAGAAGAAAGAGTTGACTGTGTAAGGTTACCCTCTTTGCAGAGGTTCAACAGTGACATGACATCTCAAGGGCTTTTCCCCCTACCGTCCAGCTCCTCCAGCAGCCCTGTAGCAGAGCTGTGTGCCTCCCAGGAGTGCTGGCAGCCTGCTCACCACGCATTATTCCTGCTATATTTCACCCTGTTGGTCTCTTGACCTAGATCTTGGTTGTGAAAGGTGAATGAATAAGCCTGTCACATGAAATGAGCCAGGATCTGCCAGCTCTGGGAACGCACCTTAGTTCCTCCGCTCCTCGAAAACGTCTCTGTGTGGAGTACAAGGTGCCGCTTCTCTTTAATGTCAACCATTTCCAAATGCAATTTCCCTTCCTCACTACTGATGCAGTAACACAATGAGGCTGTTGCCCTCCTGTAATGCCTGTACAAGGAAGGAGGCAGAGAGGAGGATAACACCGTGTACGCAAGCAGAGAACAGGCAGAAGGACCTTCTATTTGGAAATCTCGCCCTTGGACGATATGTCTTTGTTTCTCCCTGGGAACAAATGTCCGGAAGTCCACTTGGAGTCAGGATATTTTTAGTGATCATTTGTGACAGAATAAAAACTGAGCTGCTTCAATGCCAGGTCTTTCCACACAATACGTGCTGCGGATAGATATCCTCTTTCCGTGCTTCAAATATAGGTTTATTTGAGGTTCATGTTATTAAGATTGCTTCTAAAAATGTTATTTCTGGGTAGGAACCCGCACACTCATTCTTCTTCTTAAAAAGTCTGATGTAGTTTGTGAGTGAACAGGGAGGGAAGTGTACTCACACCAGAGAGAGGACAGACTGCGTGACCGTGGGGACAGGAGGGCAGGACCCAGCAAGGCCAGCCCCGACTGGGTTAAGCTGTTTTCATCTGTCTTCTTGAGAGCATGAGCTGTGGAAGGTCATGGGATCAAGGGAATAAAACAGCAAAAGTGGAGCTGGAGGGAGGAAAGATGGACACTAGGGTGGACATCTAAGCTGGTGCAGTGGAGTGCTGACTGATGGTGCTTGTGGAGGATGGGTTTGTTCAAGCCACACCATGCTACTTGGCTGGAGGCATTTTCTCTCCTAATGTAAGCGTTATCAGAGAGACTTGCAGTCTATGACTGCTTCCTCCTGCTGGCATTTCCTCCTGCATCTCACAGAGGAGCAGCACAGGCTCCTGGCAGAGATGGTGTGGTTCGTGCCAAACAGATCTCCCAGATAAGATGTTTGAAAGGTGCATGGGGGAACAGGCTTTGAGAGAATCAGTATGGTGGTTGTGCTTGAAGACATGACCTATAGGTTAATTTAATTCAATGTTAAACAAAGGATATGTCAATAGCCCAGTTATAAATTAACATATTGCTGTCATTTTCCCCTCCCGAATGACAGAGAGGAGGAGATTTCAAAACAAATTCACTGTAGGCGAGTTGTGTTGCGCTCTGCGTATGGGGTCCAAATATACCTGTCAGATTTTTTAAAATTTATTTTTCTATCCAGTGATTTAGAGTGCAATTTGATGTCTCTATCTTTTCATGAGATATATCCGTTCTGAAGAGAGATTCTGCCATAGGATGAGTATCTGATTTACTGTCTGTCAGCAGAGGCAGGTTAAGAAAAAATTGTAAAATCAAATAACTTTTCTTCCCCAAGGTTAAATGTTAAGGTCCTCCTTCCTTCTCATCTTCATTTTTCCTTTACTACAGCACAAAAACCAGATATTCATGAGGATAGAGTTCTTAACCTCTTTTGGCATGGTCTTCGTTAATGAAAGTGCCCTGAAGCCATGAAGATTTGTAGGACAAGCAAAGGGCTTTTGCTACATACATCTGTCAATAAAAATAATTTTAAAAATACAGTGTTTCTGGAGAGGAAAAGTTTTGTCCTATACTGACATGGTAGCAGTCTGTCTGCAATAAGAAGTCCAAGAGTAGAAGGAAATGGAAAGTTTAATTAAGCACTTAGGTGTGTATGAAACCAAGAGTTGTGGTTGTCTTATTAGCAGATGTAATTTTAAAAATATTTATGCAAGTCTGTTTCTTCCCTTTTAAGTATGACAGCTGTATTTCAAAGAACTGGCTACAGCAAACTCAGCAAAAGATATAAACCTAAAATTCTGGCAAGCAGAGGGAGCATACATCCCTTTTTGTAGCAGAAACAAAATGAGCTGGCTGAGCTGACCGCAGCATTACTGCTGGGAATCTCCCTCTCAGAGTCTAACCAACTCATGGATTTCATTGGAAGTGATGAGCCCAGGGAATTTCTCCAAACCAGTCCCTTTTATGTGTGCTGCAAAAAAAAATTCAGAACTAATTGCATTGCTGTTCCGGACCGCTTCTGCTGGTGCTAAAATACCCTGGCCACGCAAGTGGTTGAGATGTCTAGACAGATAAGCTAGCAGGAGTGGTTGAAGAGCATGGATCCACTCTTCTTATGAAGCCTCCTGACCTAGATGGAAGTAGAGGTCCAAAATAGTTCCTTCAGCGGATATGAAATATACCGAAAGGACAATGATTTAGAAAAGATGGCCACAGCTGAGTTTGCAAAGAAGACGGGCGGTAGAGGAGGTTGTGACAAATCCTCATGGTAGGGTCTTAAACAAGTGTTGCTGAAAAACAGCTGTGACAGTGTCTGTTTCCATTTGCTTGGGCCTCTCATTTCGCAGGGAAAGGAGATGGGAAGGGGGAAAATGGTGCTGTTTATGCTTAGTTTCATGTCCCTGTAGGTCAGTGTGTAGCAGCCACCCTTGCAGCAGCGAGGCAGCCAAGGCATTGCCACGATTGGGTCTGTGACATTCTCCCCTGCTCTGTTCAGGTGTCTCTGCCTACTGCTGAGTGTGTCTTTCTTCCTTTGTGCAGTTTTCTGCCGTGTGTATATAACAGAGCACTCCTATGTCAGTGTGAAAGCTCAAGTATCCACTTCAGCTCAGGAGATACTGAAGATTGTAGCAGAAAAGATCCAGTACCCGGAGGAGGAGTTGGCGCTGGTGACAGTCACATTCTCTGGCGGTAAATAACTTCATCTGATTACTTTCCTTTTAGTGCATCACGTAAGGGAGGGCTGACATTTTCTGGTGCAAAGATACAGCTGTTCCTGTGCGGGCCCACAGCTGGATGACCATGGGAACAATGAGGAGCTGCTTCCTAGAGAGTTGTTTCCATGGCAACAGCTCATTCTTGGGTACCATCGGATACGATATCTCCTTGCTGGGAAGGGAGAGAGCGAAGGACTCTCAGTCTCCAGCAGTACTGCAAGATGTTCTTTTTTCCCGTACAGATAAATCTCTTATTTTCACATATAAATTAATTTGGAAGGTGATGAGGCATTAGCTTCTTAAAAAATATAAAAGGGGATAACAAATACTGTATGCGTGGCTTTTCCCTTATTTACAGCATGGGTAATAAATATTCTCCAGCAGAAAGGATGGAGACATAGATTTGCACAGTTGAGATACTGAGAGCAATCTAAGCAATATTTTGTAAGCAGTCTTGCTTACAACCGACATTTTTTGCTTATTATTTTAGTGTTTCTCATTGAACAGAAAGGTTTGTTTTCTTTTTTAAGGAAGACCAGACTAATCACGGACTGATACTAGTGACCAGCCAAACACCCAAGATTTGCTTTGGTGTCTGCCAGGTCTCAAGGTCTTTGATCACTGTTTTTTCTGTTTTGCGCATTGTGATGCCTTTTGGTTCATAGGGAATATAAAGGAAGCAATTTAACTAGATGCATAGAAATGCCAAGCTGGATCTACAAAAAAGGTCTAAAAGTTTAGAATATCTTGGCCATATTCTCAGATAATGTTAGTTGGTGTCAATCCCCTGAGACAAACGATGTACCTTTAAAGATACGGTGCTATCTTTATAGAAGTAAGAAGTACTTCTTTGTCAGCCTAATGAAATGAAATATAGACAAATGCTGGCTTGTTCTGTTTATTTATTTGATTCAGAAGTGGAAGGTCACATTTTTCTCCCCCACGCCAAGCTCAGTTAAACCATTTTTTTACAGGGCACCAGTGTGAGTGGCAAGGAGATGGTGCCCTGCCCCAGCTCTCGAGAGCCTGGGCATGGAGCAGCCACATGGGAGCATTGCACTTAGGCATCCTGGCTGGCCAGGTTACATCATTTGCGGGCACACTCTTTTCACCCTTCTGTGTGCCCAAACTCACCTCCAGCGCGTTTTGCAGCACCGCAAAATCACAGTGCTACTGTTGTTTTCAAGGTCTTGCACTCCTGTTTGAGAGCAGGGCAAGTTTTGCTCTGAGAGCAATAAATCTGGTGTTAACTGCCTACTTAGATAAAGAAAACCAACAATTCATAAATAATGAAACACACTATTATCTCTAGACCATGTTGGCTCCCGAGAAAGCAACAGAATATAAGTGGTTGCCACTTGGCTGTTCAATAATAAACAATAATAAAAATGCAAGTGCAATAGGACTGTCATTTGTACATGGCTGTTGTAACCCCCAAAATGTTATTTGGTCACATTCCCTGAATTAAATGGAGATACCACAATTTCAGCATCCTTGTTCTTAAGCATTGTCACTCATGTGCTGCAAGCAATAAACACCAGCCTGCCATACTTTCTTTTTCTTTTGTTTGGGTTTTAGGTTTGGTGGGGTTTTTTTGGTATTTGCACCACTCAGAACTGTCATCTGCCATCCACTTGGAGAGCAGCAGTATAAGTATTAGTGAATGTGTTTCTATTGTACTCCTTAAATGAACAAGCAAGCTCTTTTTAGTCAAAATTACGTTGAAAAACATACTGGTAGTTCAACATAAATGTGCCTGGTGTCAGAGCGAGCATGGCTAAGAGGGAAAACAATCAGTTTGTACGGATGTTTGTCTCTCAGACTCCTGGTCCTACTCTTTCCTCATGGGCCATGAAGAGTGCAAGGTAGCTGTCAGTTTGCTTGTAGTGTTTTTGGGTCTACATTAATACAGTGACTCCTGTTACAGTAACTCCTAATACATTAATACAGGTGTCCAGAAGATTACTTGGAGCCCACAGGAAGAGATAGTTTTCCCAGGGCAGTTCTTCAGCTGTGTTCTATGTTTTGGTTTCTTTTTCCCCACACCTTTCTCTGGCACATGCAAGACTGCCCAGAGCTGAACCAGTACTCTGGAGTGAAGGAAACAAAAAGTCCTTTCTCTATGCTACCAGTTTGGTGTGTCCTGCTCTTTTACTCATGTTTGCTAAATGAATTGCTCTAGGTCTAGAGGAATTTCTGTAAATACCATATTATCAAGGACTTTTCAGCTCTGCTCCTTGGGGTGAATTTCATGGAGCTAGGATCCTTTGAATTTCTTTTCCTTTTAAATGACCATGGCTACTGATGTTATTTACAGCCCTTCTCTTGTCTGCCTGTGACACTCAACAGCGTAGTCTCTGGAGGCTAAGACACTCTGCTTTAACAAAAGTCTCTACATTTACAGTAGATACACTGGATTGAAATTAAATGCTCTGTAATGCACAGGAGGTTAGACTGGATAATTTAAGGGTTTCTTTCTGTTCTATCCTATGTGAAGTCCAAGCTGAAAGCAGATGCTAGAAGTTTTTGTGCTGAAGTCGAGCATCAGACACATCTCACCTTTATATTGCCTGAATAGTGTGGAGATGATGATCCTATGCTTGGCAGATACATAGGGAGTGGGTTCGATGCTTGGTTAAATTCTGATTTGATATGGCTTAACAAATATGTTTGCAATGTTTTTCTCATATTTATATACAGCTTTTACTCCTTTTCTGAAGCTTCTGTGTTTTGTTTTCTGTTTTTACAGAAAAACATGAACTACAACCAAATGACTTGGCTATCTCAAAATCTTTCGAGTCCTCCAGTCGTATGTTTGTGTACCGAAAAAATGTAACTGATTCTTTGGTAAGGATGTGTATTGTATACTTTGCATTTTTGATTTGTCTGATTCCAGATCAATAACTTAATATTCCTCTCAGAGGGCTTTTTCAAAACAGAATTTTATTTTTTACTTCCTTAGTAAAGCTTACTGAGCTGCTCTATACCCGAAAAAAAAAGTATCTTGCATTAACAGCAGTTGTTTGACTGAAGAGTAGTGGAATTTGTTCGTCGATTTCAAATAGACCAAAGCTTCTGTACAGCTTAAATCTTTCAATCTGCGTCAGCCTGGAAAAGCTGACTTGCGCTTGTACAGGACTGGATGGGATAAGGATTATTCACGGCCCGTGTGACTTTTCCCCGCACCCCTCTTGTGCCTATGTAACACTTAAATTGGCTGGTGCATAATCACACAAGTTGATGAACAAACTCTGTGAAATTACTACGTGTAGAAATAGATGTTGTGTGAGTTCTACCAAAATTACTGGGCATCAATGTGACTCCGGTGTTGCGGCAGCTGCATGGTCAGTCTGTGACTGGCATATACTGCTGGTGGTATGTCCTCTTCCCTTCTGTCTGTCTGTCTCTCCATCCGCTTGCTGGTGCTGGGGACGGGTTGAAGGGCAGCAGGTCTCTCACATTCCCTCTGTCCTCAGAAAACGGGATTGCAAACTTTCATAGAATCATAGAATGGTTAGGGTTGGAAGGGACCTCAAAGATCGTCTAGTTCCAACCCCCCTGCCATGGGCAGAGAAATCCTCCACTACACCAGGTTGCCCAAAGCCTCATCTAACCTGGCTTGAACACTTCCAGGGATGGGGCAGGAACAGTCAGGAAACTTTCCCTCCCCATGTGATTTCCCAAAACCTCAGTGAGGCAGGAACAGTCAGGCACTCAAAAAATCACTCTTTCAATAGTTTTCTGCTAATTATGCAGATGTTTCGAGGAAGGCACAGCGATGGTATCGCAACTGACTTTTAAATATTGTCAGTACCGCTAGGATCTGTGCATTCATCCTAGGGATGAGAAATGTCTATTTACATTTTGTTGGATCAATGTGCCCTGGAGAGCTGACACGCCGCTATCGTTGTAATCTGTCATCCCCATTATCTCCGGTGTTCTAGCCACCTCTAAAAATGCTAATATTAAGGGAAGGTTTCCAGTGGAGACAGGTGACAGCCAATCTAGTTTCATTAGTTACATAATAAAAATTGTAAAACTTGCTGTAACTGTCAGAAATATAGCACCAAAGTAATGGCTTAACTGAAAAGAATAATCTTTCATCTTGGCAGATATTTCATGTGCCAAGTTTCAACCTGATAAGGTAAAAAAACCCAAGAGAAATGCAAACCTTTGAAAGTCTGAGTTAATAATGGAAATGTCAAGTGACCTTTAACATCAGCAGTACTGGTGCACTCCATAGTAATATGCTAAGTAACTTTTATGAATCAGGACCCATAGTGTTTTACTGTTTGGAGTAGATTAATCACAAAATATATGGATTTATATTATTCGTAAAGGTGAATTGGTAGGCAAGTTTTGTGTATTTACTCTAAATCCAACGTGTTTGCAGAATGATTCCTTCATCTTGTAATACAAAATTTTCCTAATGTCCTAATTCAGATTTTGTTTTCTGATAGTTTCAGGGATTTTATTTCCATTATGCTGTCTGCTTGGTTGATGCTTTGTATTCAAGGTTTAGAGAGGCAGAGGAGAAGGCCTAATCCAATAGCAAATAATTGATCCTATTGACTGATTTCCTGTTTCAAGCTATTTATTAAATAGGCTATAACACCTTGATTTTGATTAGTGAGGGGAAAAAAAAACCCTGAGCGCACTTAGAGAAGATTACTTACTCAGCTCTGTTTGGTACCTTGGTCCAGTACGTGTTTCATTGCAGAACTTTTGGCATTTGCTGAGGATTTTTTTTGCTCTTGGCTATTGATTTAGAACCCATTTGCTGAAAATGAGGAATTGCAGCAAAGGTCTGTGAGAATTTTGGGAATCAACACCTGGGATCTTGCTTTAGAACTAACAAACTTTGACTGGAGCCTCTTCAATGCAATTCATGAGGTAAGAAGCACCATGTTCATTTCCAGGTATGTTACTCTCATGCAGCATTGTGCCGTCATGATGCGTTTTAGAGCATCCATATTCCTTGATGCTCAGTTCACCATCGTGACAGCACGAGTTTGCAGCTCTCAGTAGTGGTGGCATTGAATCAGGTCCAAGAGGTGTGTTGCAATCCTTAGTACTGAAAAAAATTGTCGAAAGTTTTTAACTTCCCTGTGCTCGGGCATCTCTTATGTTCCCTGTGTACCTGATAGGTTTTATTGGGATTTGCCTCAAGAGAGCAGAAGAGAATGATTATTCTCTAAAAACTGTCTTTGTGAATATGTTATATATGCAAATTGTCCTTTGCACTGAATAATATTTCAGTAAACATAAAGACTCCACAAATAGGTGTCCTTGATATCACTTTAACCGCAAAAGAATTCACAATTTCAGCAATTTGCATGGTCACATTACTGTTCTTGTTAGGCTTCAGTGAGATAAAAAATACTGGGTAGACTTTAGAAAATGGGATAATGGCCCACTTCAGTGCCCATTGGGTTGTTTCAATGACTTTGATAGGTTCTGGTATTAGCTGCTGAGTAGAATGCACAGTCAACAGTACAAAATGTCACTTGAAAATATCATTCACTGAAAAGCATGTTGGCTTTCTGAGAAAACGAATGGGAAATTCCCTTGCTTCTCATCAGATGCTTTTCTTGATCTTTCATTTCAGGTTCTTTTACTCAGGTTAGACGTTTTAAATCTAGATCTGGTCAAGTTTGGGGTTTTTTTTTTGCACAGAAATCAAGACTCACACCTCTGTTGATGAAAACTGGACTATTTTTAGGAAGAAGTTCGAATGGAGATTTTTCAGATTCTTCAATGGTCTGTTATAGTTGCGTTTTCATACTGGAACAGAAATGATGAAATACAGAAAGAAGCAGATTGTTTATACCTGGCTGTTCAGCTATACCCGGCTGAAGTCAGAAGTGGAACTGCAGGAAATCTCACAAGAAAAGTGTGTTTTGCAGGACTTCCAGTCCTCCTGCTTTCTGTAATAAGCCTCTAGACTTTGCTAATCAAAACCTGGACCCTGAATCATTTCTGATTGGCTCAGGAACAGTGAAAAAATAAGTATTTGTAACCAGCTCTTGTTTCAAAAACATACTTCTGAGTAATTTATAATTCACTTACATTTAAATTGTTTTTATATCTCTAATAATGTTGTCAATGTCTTTCAGCAAGAACTGATATACTTCACGTTCAGCAGACAGGGCAATGCTGAAAACACTGAGAATCTCAGTCTTCTGCTTCAAAGATGCAATGAGGTCCAGCTTTGGGTTGCCACCGAGATACTCCTCTGCAGCCAGCTCTGCAAACGTGTACAGCTCGTCAAAAAGTTCATCAAGATTGCTGCCCAGTAAGTTACTAAAGTTGCAAAAAAAAATCCGTGAATTCACATGCTCTATTTGGTGAGAAGTGGGTGCAAAAGCAAAGAAAGAAAACTAATTTGTCATCCTGTGTTTTAATAGCATAGTAAGCATACCTAGATAAAACAAACCGTAAATAACAGTAGCAAACATTGGCCAAAACTAGATGTGGTAGAGTATATGCTGCTCAAGTTTTCTCCAGCAGCTTGGCCGTTGTATCTGCAGCATCAACTGCAAGATCCCTGATGGTGCAGAGATATCTCCTTTCTTAGCAGAGATAACCGGAGGACCGTATTACAAAACTGTTTGAGCATGAACACAGTTGTTCACCAAAGACCACACGGAAACCAAAAAACTGTTATAATCTTGGAAGTCCTACCTCTAGACAGGACAGTAGCTGCAGCAAGCTGTTGCCCCATGTAATCCTCTCTGGAATACTCTTTTATTTATTGCAGGGGGGGTTCTTCATTAATTAGATTTGACAGTCTGTTCTTGCACTATTACTAAATAGTGCTGGCATTTATTCTATGCTTTGGAACATATACTATACACAGAAAGTTCTTTTCTCTGTAATCACTCTTATATCAGTAACCAGGGAAATAGAGCAATTTAAATGTATGCAACTGTTCTCCCTGCCTTTCTCTCCACTTGTTGGTCTTCTGCAATATTTGAATATGCATGTTCATGGAAAATGTATAATTTGTTCCCTTCATCGACTAGATTGATTTAATTTGCAAGGCACTTACATACAAAAGGCTGTTCTCTGCTGAATCTAATCTAGTGTAACTCATAAATGCGATTTGATATAGTTTGCAAGTTGTGTGGTATCCAGTAATACGTTCATTTTCTGCCTTACCAATGGCCAAGTTTGGACCAATTACATGAAAAATGGTTGGTTCTGTGCGTCTTGCTTGTACCACAGCAGCATTAATTTGCATTCCAGGAGAAGTTTCATGTCTGTCCCACATGAATAAGGATATATTTGTCACCAAACTAAAATGTTGCTCTATTCAAATTCCATCTCTGTTAAGTGAAAAGCCAAAGTTGTGGAGACTAAATACAGTTGTCAGTAAATAGTAGACAGGATCTCCCAGTGCATTGCAGAACAACCATCATCGTAGCACGTAGACAGTGAAATAATGGATACACCAATCAGTAAGTGTGTAGTTTGCTCAGGATCTCTTTTTTTTTTAATTGGAAAAGCAGCTTTCTAAAAGAAGATGTTATCGTATCTCATCAATTCTGGAAGAGCTGATGAAAGGGGAACAATTAGGGTGACAAGATGGTGTGCTAAGCACAGAACTCTCATCATGAGGCGCAAGCCAAGCAGCCCTGCTATTTTGTTTACGACTAAGGCAGAGAGGTAGGGAGCTGTGAGCCACTGTGGCTGCTTCCTGTTCTCTACTCCCAGATTCGGCCAGGAATCTTTCTCTATGACTCAGCTTCTCAGGAAAGCACCAGGACTAAGATGTCGTGTTCAAAATTTGTGTGCTTCACTGTTGAGGAACATCTGAAGAAGACAGGAGGCTTTTACACAAGTGTGTCAATACGTAAAAGTGAGACAGAGTTTTTGAAACACAAATACATATGCTTCTGTTGATGGGCTAGTCTAAAATAGAAAACAAGTAATTCAATAAAGAAAATGAATTATCATGTTATTAGAAATTAACATCCTTAGGAGTTACAGAAACAGGTCAATGTAAGGTTAGAATAAATGGATTATAACAGCAGCCTTCTTGCTCCCCAAGCAGTGGCTGACTGTAAAAAACATACCTGCTGTCTCCAGTTCTTTGTGAGAAATGGGCCCACCCAATAGACAGTTTATTCAGGCTGTGTTGGACACCTTTCTTGTTTTGGAATGAATTACCTTTGGGAGCTGCCTGACTTGAATGATAAAAGGAGTCTAAGCAACAAAGTTAGGATTAACTTTAAGACAGCTGAAGTGAAGTGAGAAATACACCGTCTCAAGACAGTACACAGCAATGAGTGCAAGCTTTATAGAACTTGTAACAAGTGCTGACATGTTTCCAACCTAAGGCCTTGGCATGTACTCTTCCCTGATGATAAATCCCAGTGAAGGCAGTGCATTCATTCGTACTTAAAATTATCTTAAAAGAGGATTCTCACTCTCACACACATATGTTTATAGTGGACTTCAAGAATCTGCAAGAGAAAGAGGAATCTTTTTCTTTGAAAAGGACTCAATGTTTCAGAATCTAATTTATAGGGATATGTAAATTGAACATTAATCAGATTTTCAGATGATAAAAATGTTGAGGGATTGCAAGTGCATTGGAGGACAGAAAAAAAGAAAAGATTGATCTAAGGAGTCTAGTGGCATGTGCAAACAACAGTAGGATGAGATTTAATTTAGATAGATGCAAAGTAATTCAGCTAGGGAATGCTAATGCCGAGCTGAAGAAATAAATGTGTGATGGTAAAGAGCGGTCCTGTGACAGAGGTCCTTGAGTGATAATAGATGACAAATTAAAGGCAAGGACAAAGTGTGATTCTGCTCCAAATAAATAATTTAATATTTGTTTTATACTTGTGTAGGAGAAAGGTGTAAGAACTTAGAGCCAAAAAGTAATTATGTTTCTCCTTCCCTCCTTACTGTCTCACTACATCTCTTTGGTAAGAAAGAAACACATGAGAGAAAAGTTAAAATAAATTACAAAGAATTCAATGAAGAATAATAACAATATGGAGGAGTAGATTGCAGGCCATGACCACAAAGAGAATTTCAAGTAACCAGTGATGTACGATTTACAGAAAAGATGAAAAGGGGGATGAAAATATTTATAATACAACAGAATAGAGGTCTAGGAATTATTCTGTATGGTAAAGGACAGCTGAGAGTAACTTGAACATTGAAAAGGGAAAATTACTTTTGGCAGCAAAGGGTAAAAAATAACCTGCCAACAACAGGGTTGATGAGACAGTGGAACGTTTGCTAAAAAACTTCTTAGAGACCCCATCACCTAGACTGCAGGTGGTCATGAGAGGACGTTTAATGAGTTCATTATGTGGAAGATGATTGTATTTTAGCGCTGAAGGTTGAAATGGGACTCAGTAACCTAGGATACCTGTGCATTCAATTTATCTGTGATTCTGAGTACAAAAAATCGGAATACAGTATTCATATTTTATTCCACAGCTGTAAAGCCCAAAGAAATCTGAATTCATTCTTTGCGATTGTTATGGGTCTCAACACTGCATCTGTCAGCCGGCTGTCTCAGACCTGGGAGGTAAGACGCATCTTTGTATCTTTTAGACCCTGTCAAACTATTTTTCACAAAGTTTTTATACTGATGAATTACCTTTTCTTTCTAATTATTGGTTTTCATGCCGAAATCAAACATGGAATGAGTGTCAGTAGAGAAACTTCTCTGTGACCTGAAATCTTAGATACACAGCTATTCGAATAAAACTAAATGTGTCCTTCCAGAGCTTTTAAATAAGAACAAAGCAAAGAGATCTTACCCTCTTATCAGGTAAATTATCCTAGAATTTTAAATAGATGTCAGAACAGAAAGTCTTATGAAAGTGGCTCCAAACAAGCAATACCTTATTACGGAATAATTTAATTAAAAACAAAACAAAACAAAACACAAACAAAAAAAACCCACAACAAAGTAGAAATAAACCCTCTTTAATTCTCCTTTATCAGCTCTTTTGCAGCTGTTCATCTTGAACAACAAAGTTAGGAAATGAGTCATGAATAAGGAGCATACTGGAGAACAGAGATTATCTGCTCAAGAAGCTACTGGTTGCTAGACAGAGCATGGAATGTTTAGAGGAGGGTCCCACTGGGATCTGTGTTTATATCGTGGATCTTTTTTTTCCATCCAAGTAGCTTATTCAGTGGTAGTATCTGGAACCTTAGTATATCTGCTGATGAACCAAAAACTGGGGAAAGGAGCAATTTAGTGTGGTGGAGTGAAGCCTTATTGCTCCCCCATGCCCCCAACACCACAAGTGGGCAGTACTCAAAAAAATATCAGTCTGTATTGCAAAGTGACAGAGAACGGCTGTGGTCTCCTGTCATGGAGGTACTTTTGAGCAGCAACATCTGAAACCAAAGCCATCAGAGACTTACAATCCTATTCAGAGCAAAGTCTTCCCCCTTAGCTGAAATCATGCCTATGGAAAAATCACTGCGTATGTCAGTGGCTTCGGCACACAGAGAAATGAGGACAGTGAGTGCTTCTGTGGGGAGGAGCTTACAGGGACTCAGGCAAGGAGGAGCTAACTTTGAATAACAGGTAAAGCAAAAATTTTAGAGAAAATATACGTACCTGTGGACGACAGAAACCCCATGTCTCTCTTATTTCTAAAACACCCCTCTAGGGAACATTTGCCCTTGCCTGCTCTTAGGGGTTGCCTTCATCCCATTTCATTGGGTTTTGGTAGGATAGTGGAAGGGACTAAATATTGTATCAAAGGCACCTGGTGGCAATGGCTTAGATCCCTCCCATGCAGAAATATGCAGAACTCTGCTATGTGGCGAGACCACTGGAGATCATGTGCTGCTGGTGGCCTTCTCTCAGGAAGAGCAGAATAGATTGCTTTTTGGAACAAGGAGTGCATCTGCATATGTATCATTGTAAATGTGTCACATTTCTGTGTGTAAAGTATTTATGAAGTCAGATGCATTCTTTTTTTTATTTGCAAAACTTTACTGCACTGGAAATTTCAAAAGCGGAAAGTTATTTGCATTAGTAATGTGACTTCTCGAAAGTAGAGCAATGTTTATAAATTAATTATAATTACTTACAAATGTAAATGAAGCCACCTAAATTTAAGCAACTATTTAGACACTAAATTATTTTGGCTCTGCACTTGAATTCTTAAACAAGTAATATGTTCCCAAGCATATTCTTCTACTTTTTTCTACAGTATGCAGTGTTTTAATGAGCCTAACTTTACCTGATTGAAGATACTAAAAATGTGCAATTGCAATTCCATGTTTAGTTATTTTAGCATTTTAATCATACTGCACATCCACTTAATCTTAACTGTTCTAAATCTCTTCTCTTGGTAGTGTCACTGTGGCTGTCAGGGTCTAAGGACAAAGACAAGACAGGATTTGTACTAAGAAGGGATATCTTCTACTAGACTAGTAGAAGACTAGCATGGTTGGAAAAAAGAGACAGGCTTTAAGATTCACACACCATTCTTCAAATCTGAAATGTCATAAGCAAAATTCAAACTGTAGAATAATTTTGAGTATAATAAGGTAAACTAATTAAAGCATCTGATAGATAGAGGAAGCGGATACTTGTGGAGCAGAGCAGACGTTAGCATGTGGGGCAAGAAGTTAGTTTGTGCTTGGGCTCCCTTGAAAGGTGCTTTGCACACCTCCCTACGGGATAAGGATGAGATTCCAGAGGTGGAATAATTGTTAAGAAAAGATCCCTTTCTCTGGCACCAGCATATGCCAGTAGTAACACTAGTCAGCACTGGGGATGATGTATCAAACAGCACTGACCGTGATGCCTGTTAATTTCTAGAACTCATGTTTTAGGGTTTAATTACAACAAATTATTTGACCTGGATGTGATCGCAGTGTCTGAATTATCAGCCTGTTACTGCTTCTAACTTGATACGGATATTAAGGTAAATATAGCGGACTCGGAAGCTAGGGAAGAACATAAAAACAGCTGCTGACAGCTGTTTCCATAAAAGAAAGATACAGGTCCCTGAGGCGAGGCTGCAGGGTCTGGTACGTCAACTGGCATCACACTGAACATGGTCTGTAATTAAGGCTCTTGGAGCTGAGGAGCAGAGGTTAACTGTGCCTGTTGGTACTTTCTACAGGCACTTCACACACGGCAGTCTCATGGAAAAAAAACACCTCAGCATTTTTCTGCCTAAATGAACTTTCCTTTTTTTCCCTTCTGTTTTCTCCACTTCAGAAAATTCCTGGGAAGTTCAAGAAACTTTTCACTGAACTTGAAAGTTTGACGGTAAGTATGGTGCTGACAGCAGAATGGCATTGCTTGTCTTTACCTGCCTTCCTTCTTCCTAATTTATTTGGAGGCTGCCTGTTATTGTCTGGAGCTGGAGCTTGTCATGTCACAGATCTGCGATTTACCAAAGGCCACGCAGCTCTCCAGAGCTCAGAGGTGGTCTTCAAACACAGAAAGGAAAAAGGCTGTATTCCTGATGGTTGGAGGAAGGGCAGAGAGAGGCGAATGCAGTGTCGGTTCCCCAGCATCAATTTGGGAGCTATTCTTTTGCTCTGGTGGTTTAATCAGTCTTTATCCAAAGCAATGTGCTACAGATCAGGAGAAAAGCAGGACAGCTGAAGTTAAAAAAAAAAAAAAAAAAAAAAAATCAAAATCTGAGGCTAAGGGTCTTTGTCAGCATTATCAAAGCTGAATAAAGAAGTGTTTCCTTTGACTGTCATGGAAGTGGGTGTGTGGTGAGATCACTGCCTGGTGCAGGGAACACAAGATCCTGCCTTTAATGGCTGTCATGCTGCTGTACCTAGAATCTTTTATAAATTGATGTGGTTTTTTTGTGCCTGAACTGGTGTACAAAACATTCATTTATGTGGGAAATTGTGATGACTTTGAATTACTTACATAACACCACTGAAACATACTCTCTGATTTTCTCTGAAAATCTCTAATATGCTCCATTGATATGAGAGCAGTTTTTATTGGGATTTTTTTGGTTGTTGTTTGGTGGGGGTTTTTTTGCTGTGGGTTTTTTTTTTTTAGGAAGAAATTAATCAACAATACGTTCTGGGGTACGTTTTGTGCTAGATAGTAAGCTGAAGAGATTTTGCTAATAGAAATTTGTCAGGAAATTACAGAGCAGTTTACGTGAATCTATTCTGCAGCTTACTCCCATTTTAGCACTGCTTCATCTAGAGGAACATAATTGCCTTTGTTCCTCTCACTGTTTATGTTTCCTGTTCAGTTTAGTAAGTCACCTAGCTTGGAAAACCTTTATCTGCCTCGTTTCCCAAAGAAACCTTCTATGTCTAAATCATGTTCAGATCATAAGCCCATAATGGATTTAGAATTGCTCTTTTTATAGCCTATTGATTTTTCTCTCTATTACCCAAATGGTTTTGTAGGACCCTTCTCTGAATCACAAAGCTTACAGAGATGCATTCAAGAAGATGAAATCTCCGAAAATCCCCTTCATGCCCTTACTTCTGAAAGGTAATGTTAAAGCTTGGCTGCTCTTCTTCATTGTTAATTATAATAAGTGTAAGGTGATTTTTCCTTCAGGTGGCCTTATGATAAGTATGTGGCAGATATAGTGGTATCTACGAGATAGCACTTGGTGTGGATAATAAACAGCTACCTTTTAAAACAGGGGGAAGATGGCAATTTTCACACAGGTTTACAAATTTCAGGGTCTTCCTGTCAGACGTGGGTAGAGCAATGTGACATTGCTTTGACCACATCCTCTTCAGTGGAGAAGCGAGACCTTGCAAGCCCCTGATATGCCTGTTCTGAGCTGCTTGCCCTGCCTTGCCGGGGTGAAACTATCTGGTGTCATCCTAAAGGCAGAACCTGATCTGACTGTCCTGAAAGGAGATTTTCAAGTCTCTCATAGGTCTGAAAGAGATATAATAGTAAAATCTTACTATTAAAAAAAACTATTTTAAAAATCTATTAAAATTAAATACAACTACTTGCTTCATGCAGTGAGCTGGGCAGCTAATTAAATGGCAAATATTTCAAATATTCCATTGTCTTGGAGTCATTAATTATTAATTGCCTTGTCTTTGAACATGGCAAATTCATTTGCTTATTCCCGTGTTCTGAAAGTGCTCTCTTTGGGCTGTTTATTCCAACCTGCTGCTGCTGCGAGTTTAAAATGTTTGAAGACAGATCTCCAGATCGGTTGGTGACAGTTCAGGAGCCATCAGGCACTTCCCCTCTTTGCACACATCAAAGGAAGTTTGCATTAATTCAGACGGATACAATTATCAAGGCTTCAGAACCAATATTTTTCAAGTGTTCTCGAGCATGTCTTGCCTGCAAACAAAGGCAGCAAACATAAACAGGTAACTTGTAGCAATGATGTTTACGCAGCACTACAACGCGGGGTATAAGAACATGCACGTAAGCAGCATTCCTGTCTTGAAAACGTATAGGAGATAGCAAAGAGAATTTGCAAAATAATACAGTAATTTTCTTCAATGCAGTGATCCACAGGGAGATGTTACCAAGGTTGGTAATTCCCAAAGTACTGCACAGTACATAGGACTTTGTTCCACGTCAAATAAGCATTGATAGCATAGAAATCATTAGTAACTCAACAAATTACTGTGTTTCAACACAAGAGGAACAAAAGTTGTTTCAAGAAAAAACAGAAAATCGTTAATAACCTTTCTTTAATTACAAGAAATAACTTTAGAGTGTCCTTTTAAAGTTAATTAAATTTAAATGTGGAGCTCTCTTACAGCACACAGACACAGCTTTTGAAAATCGGGCAGATTTTTCAAATATGTAATAAAATACTGTGATGTATCCTTACAACATAGCTCAGATGCAATTTTCTGCTCCACTGAGTTTATCTAGACTCTTAGTTGTTGGCTGCAAAGCAAATTTCTGTTCCTTCCACCCTCAGAGATATATACATTGCCATCATTGACTTAAAAAGCTGTGTGAAAATTTCTGCTTCCAGGATAAGTTTTTCATTAGAAGTGACAAACAGTTTTTAACTGCATTGATACAGAGACAAGTGATACCCGTGTCCTGAAGCCGTGTCCTTTCCCTATCCCTTTTCCTGGGTGCCCCAAAGCAGCCCAGCAGAGGAGGTGTAGAGAGCCCACTCTCTCCTTTCCCTCTGATTTTTAGGACAATGCCCAGGGGCAGAGAGGTGCTGGAGGCATCCCCAGCGTGCTTGTCCTGTTTGCTCAGGGGTGCTGACTGGGCTCGGCATGACCGGGCTGGCATCCTGCCTGCCCAGGCCATCATCTTGCCTGCCCAAGGCAGAGCCCAGCCCAGCCACCCTGGGGATGCGGGAGCTCTCCATCACCCCTCCCGCAGAGCTCTGCCTAATGAGTCCCAGCTCCAGGTTTCCACCAGTATATGAAGCCTTTAACATTTCCATCCTAAGCAATTACAAAATGCCTCTCAGGCACAGAGCGAGTCTTTTAAGCAAAAGGAAATAAATCAGGTTGGCTGTTTTGGGAGGAAGATGAAGTGGGGCAGGGGGTGGGGTAACAAAGCACCCCTCATTGTCGGCTGCAGATTCCCAGTCCTAAAATCCACTGGAACTAAGGAGACCAACGGCATCAGAAGGAGTCCTAGAGGATGAGCACAGGAGAAATGCCGAGATGCACAGTTAGGCTGGTGGGTTGGAGGTTGGCATCTCAGCAGAGAGGGAGACGTCCATTTACTGTGTGCCACTCACCTGCTGCCAGACACAGCTGTGACTTTTAAGAAGTACTGGTATCAGGAAGCCTACTCATTACGTTAGTGCTGTCTCCTCCTGGTACATCCAGGAGGGAGGTGATGGGGGCATGGCTGTGGTGGTGCTCCTGCGAGAGGATGCTCTGACTGAGTCAGAGCTTCAGTCCCCACAAGGAATCTGTGCTTTATGGCCAAGATATGTCTCACTCGTGTCCTAATATGCATTAGAAAAATGGAGAAAATGACCTCAAGTTACTGTTTTAATTGTAGTCTTAATTTAGCAACATTTGTTTTACTTGATATTCCCCCCACCTCCATTTAATTTCACTGTATTCAGTTCCCTTCCTGGAGCCAAATATAGACCTTTTCCTTTTCCTCTCACTGGCATTTTTGTTGCCTTTGCAAATTCTCTCCAAGAACGCTGCGTAAAAGTGTTTTTTCCCCAGCCATAATGCTTATTTCAAGGCTTTGAACTTCAGTTTGGTGCCTCGTGTTTAATCTCCCTGGCTGGCTGCTGCTGTAGCCTGTGTCTTTGGCGGGCACTTCCGAGTCATCATGTCCCACAGAGAGAGATGAAGGGATGTCAGAGCCAAATCCAGTGTCTGGTAGCTCTGCCCCTGTGCAGATCCGGGCTCAGGCATGGGCAGCGTGGCTGGATCAGTGCCGCAGGGTGTGGAGAGCAGCCATGCCATGCTTGGGCCAAACCTCTGGATGCCCCCACCCACTCCCAGCCATCCTCTGTGTGATACACAAACCAGAAGTAACACAGACCAGGTTTACTAAGAAATCCATGCTCCCACTAGAAAATCCTCTTGTTACGATGTGTACATAGTGTTGCTATCTGATAATCTGTGTGTTGTTATACCAGGCTTTTGTTCCCTTGTTTTAGTGTCAGTCCTTAATGGGATCTTTCCTTTTTTTTTTGTTTTGTTTGTTGCTGTTTAGTCATTTTGCTTCTTTATATTAAATAAACAATGCTATGACAAATAATTCTTTTTCCTTTTTTTTTTTTTTTCCCAGATGTAACATTCATCCACGAAGGAAATAAAACTTTTCTGGATAACCTTGTTAATTTTGAAAAGCTGGTAAGCTAATTTTGTCTTTCCTATTTTTCAAAGAGATTCACATTCTCTTCTTCCCTTTCCCCTCCTTATCTTGTAAGACTAAAAGATTTTCTTCTGGCTGAATCGGGAAGAAGTAAACAGGTAAAAAAGAGCAAACAGGATAAAACAGCCAATAGTTTATCTCTGCTGCCCCTTTCCTCTGCTCCTCTCTCTTCTCACTCCTTCCTCCCCCAGCTGTATGTAAAATGGCTAAGCTAGTGGTGGCCAGCATTGGTGCCACACAGTCCACTTGCTTTTCTGTCGTTTGAACCACCTCGAGGACTGTTTCTCCTCAGTTAAGTTCTCCTGTTTCAGCTTTCTCTGAATTATGTTTCCTTTTTTTCTGAAAGCACTAAAGAAAAGTTTTCTCTAGTTTAACGCTTGCCACTGGTGTGCTAATTCCAAGGATCTTAAATGAAAGTAAATTTTTTTGATCTGGTATAGATAATGAAGGAAATAATGCCTGAAAGATGGATTAAACTGATTGTAAATATCACTGTACTAACTTTTATGTAGAAAGGCATTTACTAACATTGTATCTTTGGCCACATCTACTCAGCATCATATGACATCTACTCTGGCATGATATTACTGATAGAAGTTTGATTTCTCTAATTTGCGTATGTCGTTTCTTTGTCAATAACACTGATGGTACTGAAAGCCACAGTTTATATATCTGAACAGTGCTGAAGTGGAGAAACGGATTTTTTTTTTTTTTTGGCCTGAAGTATTTGATCAAGAAACAAAAATGTTCTTCCCAATAGCTCTAAATGTGCCATGGGACGTTTGGTACAGATGGCTGTGCCTGGTGAATTGTCCTCAACTGTTTTGTCCATGTGTTTACACTTGTTTGAGAGTGAACCAGATGTTAAACTTATTTTCACATCCTATCATAATGTACGTTGTCTTTCAACTTACAAGCAGATGTAGACTTTGACTTTTGAACCTGAGCTCCTCTTTTTGTGTTTTCTATTTGATTTCTGTACCTTTTCTTGTTGCAGAGTTTACAAGAACACTGATTTGCATTTAATGAAAGGTTTTCTTGTCCCAAGTCCATTAACTGTTTGACCTTTAGGTGTTTGCATAAAACTCATTAGCATGTTCTTCTTCATTGCCTCTTGGAAGTACATCCAATTAACATGTAAATTAAACTAGCCTTTGATGCACAATAATTGTTACTAAAATCCCTCCACTGACTCACATATTTATTTAGTGAATATGTAGAATCTGATTCTTGTTCCAGTCTTAGCAAGACCCTGTTGGTTTGTTTGTTTGTTGTTTAATCATGTATATATTTAATATATGCTGGGCATGCTTGGTACGATTTCCTTTCCTCGATGTCACCAGTGTGTCTCCAGAGGCAGTGGGAGCTTTGCTAATTGACTTCAGTGAGCCAGGATTTCACCTTTTCCATGCAAATGGATATGGGCATTTTAAATGGGAGGGGGGGAGAGTTTGAGGTGATGGTGATGGGGTGAGGGCTGTTCAAACTGACACTTCCTCCAAATTATTAGTCAGATCACGCCCTCAGGAACGTGCTGTCTCCTGGAGCCCTGTGTACATATGAATGCAGACGACAGTGCAAGCTTAGGAAGTGGGAGCTTAGGAGAGATTTAAATATGAGTGTAGTGGAAACCCAGGCAGTATCATTTGGATGCGAAGATATTTAAGCTATGGTCACGACTTACCAACAAGATGCATCACACATCATGGCATATATATCAGTTTTTGTTTCTTTTGTAATCATAAGGGCTTTGTCCCAAGAAGAATGTCTTCCTAGGTGTTTTATACAGTGCTGAGCACTTTCTGGCCTCTGCTGAGAAAAATTAAGATTGACATTGACTCCTACTTGGTTTGGATCAAGCCACTGAACCTCACCTGCAAATTTGCTGTTGCAGAAAAATAAGAAAAGAATTATTCTACCGCAGCAGATTACTGCTTTGGGGAAGTAACTTGCTCACTGTCATAAACACATAGAATTTCTGCTTATGCGTTTCACAGCAAAGACAGCTTCTTGTATCTCCATGTGGATCAGTACTTCAAAATATTTCATTTCTACATTAAACACCTGAAAGGCTCATCAGTCTGAACTACTGTTTTTTCCAGCTATATCATTGGTTTAATAAAATCCTTCCCTTCCTTACAATCCCTGCTTCCTTTATATTCTTAGACCATCATGACCACAACAATCTTACTGTGACTGAACTTGATTTGACATGACAGAATTGCAGTGAAGACAAAGTCAAATCAAAATAGAAAGAAGAGAATTTGCAAAGAGAAGAAAATGAAATGATCTTTTGTATCAGGAATGTTGCCCAGTTTTAGTAAAAGTTCAAGGGATTGCAATGATTTATTTAACTCCGTGTTTGGTAAACTGTAGTCTAGAATAGTGTTTGATCAATATTTAGTACCGTACCCACTTCCTCAACTTAATCTGAAGGAATAAATGAAAATATGGTCTTATGCTGTTGCATCTCAAGGTATTTCCATGGTATTTACCAAGCTACTTCACTGAAATGGGGCTTCTTGATTTTTTTTTTTCCTCCAGTCAGCCATCACCGGTATCTTAGCAATGACATGTCTTAGCCACACTCCAGCAAACTCTAATACAGGTCAATGGCCATTACCTTTTTAGATAACACCTTCTTACCTAGTACCTTGAGCTGTAAGGACTGTGTACATGCAGCTGAAGGTTCTCAGACCCCACCCCCCATCAAATATCTGTGTAACTCCCAATCCTGAGTTTTTGCCATCCTCAGTTAAAGGAGTGCTGGTGATCCTAGGTAGCCTTAGGCTGAAAGGCCACAAGAAATGTGTGTTACTCATCACACTAACATATGCAAGCACCTGTTTAAATAGTCAGGATATAGCATTTACTTTGCAGATGAATTGGCTGCTTTTCTGTGTTACAATCAGATGTCAGGGAATTTCGAATGGACAGAGAGAAATGCCTAATTATGCTACTAAAGAAGGGAAATTTGGAATTCTACTTTAAGAGTGTTGCATGAAGAGATTCTTCTGTCACCAGGGCATCACCTTTAGAAGCCAGTCTTGGGATGGACCCCCCCACTGACTGACTACAAAGGAGAAAGAGCAAAGAATGACAGTGTGTGTGATAATAGGATCTCTCTTCTAAAAGCCAGATGCAAAGGGTATCAGCCGGAAAACATCTCAGCAGCAGCGCTGGTGGAAGTTGTGCCTCTCCCAGTACTCATGCTATGGACCATGAAATCTAGGATATCTCATTAGAACTTCATTATAATCAGTGCAAGGACATCAGCACAAGAGATTGCATGATTTCATGGCAAATGAAGCACGTCGGGTAACAAGAAAGATTATTTTGATTCACTGATGCAAAGAATATGAAGATTCCATTAAACGTGCTGTTTTTCTTGTGATAAGCTTTTCTGTGGAGGAGCCTTGTAAGCCACTCTCTGGATATTGAGAGATGAGCTATTCTGCGTCATTCTAGTCTTAAGCATACTTTGCTCAAGAGGGTTAATCCTTTCTGCCCCTGATTATTTAAGAGAGGGAGATGTGACAAGAACACAGCTGTTTGCATGAACTGTCATTGCCGTTAACTGCAATTTGCTTAAATTCAGTACTAGATTTGGTGACGAATTGCCAACTTCAGTATGTTTTCACCTTTATACCTCAGAAGCAGTCAAATAAAGGAAAAAAGTAATACCTCAACAACTTCATGGGCGACATCTAGTGAAAACGAGCACACTCCGCTGATTTATAGTGAACAATTCGTTTTCCTAAGTTGAAGACCTGAGCCTGAACGAGAAACAAAACTTAAACCTTTTATTTCCTCTGCTGAATTTAAGTGAACATCTGGTATCCCTGTTAGCACCAGCTTTTCCTGAAATAGTGTAGCTACAATATAGCCTTATTTGGTGTGTGTCTGTGGAGATGTCGGGGTGTTTGCTGAGCAGCGTTTAGGCTGTGGGCTGTTATTTTTTTGTTGGTTGTCACGCTGCAGAAAACTGCCTAGCTGACACTGATGCCCAATTGTGTTAGGTATGATACAAGCAAGTTGTAGCCTGTGCCACAAAAGGGTTTCCAGTCTAATTAGACAGCATGTGGAGACAGAAGGAGAGGTCTCAGACTACCAAATGCCCTGGATAACGCACTAGAGCCAGCGGTTGGACCCAGAAGCACCCACCCAGTCCACAAGACTTCCCTGCTGTAGGCTCTCAGTTTAAAAAAAAGTCACAGGAACAAAAATAAGCAATTTTTGCCTGTTTTTCATTACCACTTTCCATGGGCTCTTAGGGAGTTGTTCTCATTTAACCTGTGTGATATCAATATGAACCTTCTAAACTAACCCTGTTTCATCATACAGTATCACTAAGACAAAGAGCAAAGTCTTTCTCCTGCTGTCTTTATTTTCCACCTTACTACCGTTGCTTTTTGCTGTACAGTGTAGGGCAAAAGGATTTTTTTCAGGCTTTTCTAATGACAGAATGCATGTCAGATTTTTGCACTGATGTTTTATATCTTGTCTTTGCAGCACATGATTGCAGATACTGTTCGGTCATTGAGACATTGCAGAAATAACCAGTTTGGTGAGTAGCCAAAATTTGCTACTTGGTTTGGCTTTGTACAGCCTTGAAGGTCTGGGGTTTTTTTGCTTTCTTTCCACTTGCTTAGGTTTACTGAAGAAGCAAAATGTGGTTGCCAATTATTATCCAATAGGCAAGAGGGGACGTCATTTTTGGAAGGTCAACATAGCAGTAACCATAGCTGGATGAAGTTTTACTTTACAAAATGTTTGTAGAAACAACTTCCAATATTTTTATAAATTATTTTGCTGTAAAAATTACCACCACTTCAAAATACTGTGTAAGATCTGTGCCAGCTGCATTTAATAATGAAGGCCTCTGGTGTACACTGCCGTTTCTCACTTTCCCAGCTATGACTGAGTTACCTCAGTCTCCTGCTAGTCTATGTGTTTTGGTAAAGGATTCACAGCTGTCTTGGCTTCCAGTAGCTAAAAGATGATATTCATCATTATGGCTTTTCACTTGGCTTTTCGCTAAGAGCAATTGTTAGCTTAGTTGGGGTTCTTAAGGACATTTCACAAAAAGTCTCGAAGATATTAAGATCCTGTGGGTTTCGTGAAAGTAATTGACCAGGTAGAAAAGAAGGGGTTGCATTAGTACCTCTGTTAGGAAAAGCTTGCAAATAGAGCTCTGCCTGGTTTTGACACTGGAGGATCTACGCTGATGGGAACGGTCACGAGTGCCTCAGCTGCACAAAAGACTATTTTCTGTTTCCATCTTATTAGCCACCAGAGAATCCAACCCTATGGGACCATGCCAGAAGATCCCAGGTCTCGGGCTCATGGAGGAGAAACCTTGTTTTTCTCCTCCTCAGTGTTTCTTATTCTCTGCAGAGAGGTTAAATGCAGACAGGGGACAAACACAGCACTACTTTAGGAAATGGTTAGAGTTTTAAGCCAAACACACTAAACATGTCATTTACTGAGGCCACTAAAACCTCTTTTCCAAAGAGAAGTTCAGAGTTGTGCTGCAGCCTCGGGGAAAAAGAGTTTGAATCGTTTCCTTTTGCCAGCTTAATTTTCAGCAGCTGTCAGCATGGATTCCGACAAAAAGAATAATAATAATGATTTTGTGTAAAAATGCATGTACCTTGGAGAATTATAGGTACTGTTAAGAACTTTGCTGAACGTTTTTTCCATAGAATTACCTTGTGTATTTACAGTCTTTTTTAAACAAAGGTGGCTCAGCATTATGGTTCTTGTGTTGTTTTGAGATAGAGAGAGAGGAGGCAGGACGTTTGGTTTTATTCTGTTAAACCAGATACTGAAGGAAATATTGATTAATCCAGACCGTGTCTCTGTAGGTTAGTCTGTATCTTATTTGGCATTATAAAATGGTAGCATTGGTTCCTTTTATTTTCTTGCAGCTTCTTTGCAAATCATTCCTCTCTTTTTTGCTTTTTTATTTTTTTCCTCCGAGTGGTTTTGTAAATGTTGCAACATAAATCTAAGGTTAATACCTGAGATTTATCATATAATCTGGTAGTTTGAAGTACATGATTGTTATTTTATTTTACCACAGACTCGATTTATTGTGAAGCTGGCATTTAAAAAGCAGCTTAGACAGACATCCCTACAGGCACTATTTTTTTTTTTTCCCTTAAATTCGTTTAGGCATGAAATGAATTCACTGAATATTTATTGAGACTTTATGAACAGTTTCCTTTTCTAGTGGGCTTATTTTGCTCTCAGGAACGTGAATCTTTCTACTGCATCAACTGCCAGATTGGCCCAAGAGCAGCAGGCATCTTAGTGTAGGAAAGAATTCAAACAAAACTAAGCAAGGAATATGATTACTGTTTATGAATTGTATCATGTATATTAAGCTTGCAGGCCAAAATCTTTCTGGATTAGAAACTGGTTAAGTTCCAAGCAAGACTGAAATGCCTTTTCAATGGAAATAATACTTCCATATCCTAAATCCCGAAAACAAATAATAGCGTTTACAAATTCAGGCAAAGCAGCCCTGAACAAATAACATAATTCAAGCTTTTGTCATTTTGGGTGTTAATGAGAAATACAAATGTTTTTCAGTACGTTCAGCGCAGCTGCAGGGATCCTATTTCCTCAGAATGGAAAGGTCGTCTCTGTATCCCGACACAAATTTATCACGTTGTGCTGTCCTCTCCCACATCTCTCAAGTCAGATAGCTGCTCAGAAATAGCTCCCAAAAATAGCTGCCCAGGAGCCCTGTTAGCAGCCACACGCAGGACTGGCTGCATCGACATCCCGTGTTACCTACCTAGCATCACGCAGTGCTCTTCAGAATCAAGTGGGATGGTTGGTTCTTGGAAAGCTTCTCATGTAGCTGGAGGGCATGGAGAAAAGGATGATAATGAAACAAAGGAGAAGGAGGGAGCGTGTGAGTTAAGCTGATTGGGTTGGGGAATTTTGAGCGTTTTCATTTTTTAATTTGTGGTAATGTTATTAAAAATTCCTTGAGGACATGGACTGGAACAGAGCGATCCAACCTTCGCTCATTTGTCAGCAGCTAGCAACGTGTGGGAAATGTGTCTGGTAGCTTTCTCTGCCTGTCTTGATGGGTCTCAGTGGCCGTGGGCTTAGCTTTGCCTTTTCCACTTCTGCTGGCCACCAGCAATGCGGGTTTCACCAGCAAAAAGGGTTTCACAGGTGACGAGTTCCCACAAGCCAGTCAGCCATAAAGATTATAACAGAAAACATCTGCCATTCGAGCCACCCTTCAACTTGTCTCATACACAGCTAATTCCTCTTGCCATGTAAACTCCCATGAAATACCAGCATGACTCTCGTCTCTATTACTAGATCAGAAATCAAAATCATAACAGATCAAAATGTGGGAGGCCTGTCAGAGCAGCTTTGAAGAGCTTTCGTACCTGTCTGCAGTGCTGTCGCCTCTCACCTGCTCCGAAGGAGATGATGGGAGGCCCTGCTGTCTTGGGTACTTGTGTTAACGGATGTTTAAAAGTCACCAGCTGGGTCGCCCACCCCTGTTCAAGGTCCCGTTTTGCTGCCAGAGCGGCACAAAGGAAACCTTGCACCACCCTTTTGGGGGATGGACTGTCTGTGCTGCCAGCAGGAGTAAATCTTCCTCTTGGGAAGAGTCAGCGTCTTGCCATCCACTTGTCCCTCCTTCATGCACGCTGGCTGCCCAGCATTGTCTGCTTCTTTCTTTCTTCCCCCCTTTTCTGTATCTAGCTGTTCCCCCATGCCTTGTACTTAAACAGTGAGACGTTGGGATCGCTGGCCATCTTTTTGGTGGCTGTCTAGCACCTGACAGGTTAGCATGCCAGGGACTTTCTAACGCACAGGTCAGAGAAGCAGGCAAGGTATGGCTTTCTCATTCATCCCCTTTCTCTTGTCTTGCAGGCAATGAAGTTCCTTCAAAAGAGCATCATGAGCTGAAGCCATACATCCATCACCTGCATGTCATCGACAACCAGCAAGCTCTGTTTGAGCTTTCTCACAGGATAGAGCCGCGAGCGTGAATGTGCACAGCTTCGTATAACCTTGTAACTGCAGCACTTTGAATTAAGTGAATGTTTATGCCAAGCATGTTGCTTCCCTATATAAGAACAGTTTACTGAGTTTTATCAGTAGCTCACACAACATGCGCAGGAAAATCAGGCAAGAGCCAGCAAAGGAGCTGCTCACAGAGTTGCAGGGCAAGCTTGGTGCCATCCCCGCTGGTCACCGGGACGGGAGGGAGCGGAGCAGCAACCTTTGAGCTCAGGAGCTTGGTTTCTGTGAAAATATTGTTTGGTCCAGTGTAGCTTTCAACGCAGATTCTGCCAGTATTAGAATGAAAGGAAACGTCGTGTCACAGCAGCAAAACATTTCAGCAAGCAACATTCCACAAGGGCATTGATTCTCAGTTCACCACAGTATGTACCTCACTAATTCAAGGCTGCCAAAGTATTGTTGCCAAAAATACTGTGCGATCCATGCAGCTCCCCCGAGTCCACTGGAGCATCTTCTTTGAGATAAGTGTGGACATCCAGGAATGGAAATATAAAAAGACAGTGCGCCAGATGAAACTCAGGAGTGTGTCATGATGTGGAGGTCAGCAGTGTTATGGCCCCTTAAGAATCTGCTTTATAAAATACACTGTAAGAGCCAATCTGCTTTTGTTACAATTTATGGACGTAATTGTTTGTACACTGAAAACGCGTTGTTTTCTTCCTTTTCAGTTAACTCAGATTTAGCACCAGCTCCTGTAGTTAACGTGGTATAAACTATTATAGCAGAAGCTTTGTTTTCTGCTTGGATTACAGCCTCCTTGGCGTCTATTCAGAGGCAATGCCTAGATTCACCTACATTCCTAACTCACCTCCTGAAAATACTATTTCAGCAGGTAAAACTTCACCTAACTTGCACATGCTTCTAGTTTTTTAAAGAACAAAAGAGTACACCTTGCAGGGTACCAGTGTAATTACCTGCATACACACTAGGCTCTCAGCATCAGCGTCCTGTTACTGCTTCTGCCCCTCTCACACCCCTCCCCTAGCCAGTTCTCATCTAGCTAAAGGTTCTACTGCTGGGTATGTACTGAGGCAGCATTTCTAAAATCTTGTCTACAGTTGACCTACATCTAAGCACCATTGTCACTGTAGCTCTGGTTTTCAGTGTTAAGAAGTTGCCCTGCAATAATCTAGTGAATGGCACAGGCAATGTGCAGTGTGCTACGCAGTCTGGCACACGCTTGTGTGCTGACACACGGTAACGGTCCCTTTGTAGAGCAGGGAGGATACAACGCATTGCTTGCCCACCTCTATCGTATGTTTTCTACATGAGGAAGGCTTCCAAGGAAATGCTCCTTTACTGAAATGTGGAAATACTGAAGTAGCATGCTCTCCATCGTTGTGTGATCTCCGGTTTAAAGGGATTTTTAAAAAAAAAAAGCAGCTTTAACAAGTAGTCTGTGGGGGAATCTGTAGAATGCATTCAGTTTTCCCATCTGTGAAATATTGTATAGATCTATTGTAAAGAAAACAGATGTTTCAGAAATGTATTTGCTTGTACTTTGTTATTATCAAATATATATGATTTTTTTCTTTTTTTTTTTAGGAAAAAAAAATCTTTTTACTCAGTAAAAAGAAAAAAAAATAAACTCTTGCTGGCCATGGAGTAAAAATTTCCTATGTTCTTCTGTAGATGTGACTGCACATATTGTAAATAACTCTTTTGTGCAAACAGACCAAAACTGTTCAGATGAGGATACTAGCTGCGGTGGGCTCCTTTTTGCAGTGTAAGGACACAAATCAGATCCAATTTGCTGCTTGTGTTACTGCAGTTCTTCCTCTGGCTGCCACACTCACCGAATCCCCACCCTAGATAAGTTACTTAGGTGCTTTGCTGGTTTTTGAGCTCCCCCTTGTGAAATCTTTTTACTGTGGCGTTGTTTTTAGGAGCTGGTGTGTACACCAGCCTGCATGCTTTAGCTCATGTCTACAAGTTCTCTTGAAATTTGTGGGAGAGGGAGCATGAGAAGGTATTCAGGGTGAGAAAGTGGGCCTGCTTCTCAGTTCACTGCGTTTGCCTCTGTTTTGGTAGTTACTGCTGATGAAGAAGCAGCAGTGCTGGAGAAGAATAGAAGACAAGGAAATTAAAGAGGTGGGGGGAAAAAAGAAAGAAAAAAGAAAATAGAAGTAGAAAGATAACTCTATGCTCAGGCTTTGATTTGAAAGCATGCTAGAGCCACCTGGAAGGCTCCTCATTCTGCCAATTCAAATTGGTTGAAGTCGATGGATGGGTTAACTCGTACCATGAGGCTTCAAGCCAGCTGAGGTGTTGGCTGTCTGCACTGCTGTAACTGAATACTAAATCAAGTGTTGTCTACCCCTTGCAGCCGGCATAAACTCAGTTTGAAGGCACATAGCCAGCATTAACCTTGTTATCTGTGTTGTGGCTAATTAGACTACTATTTAAAACTTTACAGACTAGTTTTCATAGTGGCCTGTATAATTGGGATAGAACTTTCTGGTCTGAGAGGCCAACTTGGATGTATCAATTTCACATGGAAAATATGGATATTGTAACTGTTACCATAAAGGAAAGGCAAATAGTCCAAATCTGTAACTAATATGCCTAATAAAAAAAGGCTCGTCAGAGTCTTCATTCAACAGATGAAGCATTGCAGACTGGCAAACAGTTTGAAGGTGTGGTAGTTGGGAGAACTAGAAATAAACCCTGTGGAAGTGGGGGACGCTACACGGCCTCTGTCAGGGCTCAGCACTGGTGATACTCTGTGATTTTTAAATCTTTCAGTAGCTCAATTATGTTACATAGGATAAAATCTGTGAATCTTAGAAGTTTGGTTTATCACAATCACACCTGGGATTGAATTCTTTTCATATTTTCCTTAGTAGTTAGGAGCCTGAGTAATTAGACAGAACAAAAGAAAAAGCTGGGTCACTTTATACCTCTTTGATGTGGGATTTCTTTGCATCAAATTCAGATGCTTCTATGACACATTTTGATTCCAGCCCTGTCTCGGATAGAAATAAATTGCGTTTGCATGGCAGTGGCAGAAAAAAGAAGTTATCAGAAATAATAAGACGTGCTGCTGTAAAATTACAAAGAAAGGTGTAAATACTAAACATTTTAGCAGAGTAATATTTATTTGCATAGCCTATTTATTGTCATCTTATTACACTATTAAGAAATACTGGGATGAAATCAATGAGCTGAGGTAAGAACACCTGCCTCTTCCGTTCTGAGTGCCATAATGCTGTCAGCTTGCATTAAAAGTAATAAAATAGAAAACCCCAAATCAAGGTATTTACCTAACTTCTCAGGGACTACAGCTAGTAGTTATCCACCGTTACGAGACCTGGTATGTATGAAATAATCTGATTTACCAGAATCTATGTTGCCAATGTTTTCCTTTTCGTATTTCATGCTTGTCTGCCTCTGTACATATTATTGTGTTGTGTATTTATGAGAGCTAGTAAGCAATAATTTATATGTCAAAATGGCCAAGCAATACAAGGTTAAAACTTGTAGAAGCAACTGTTACATTTATCTTGCATTTTTCAGTGTTTTTTAATATTGCTTTTAAAAATATAAAAACTACCTTAATGAAGTCTGGGCTCTGTGCCTTCATGCTTATCACATATACTTATTGTTCTTAACTGGAATATTTTACGCTTGTACTTCCAGTCGTTCCATGCCACAAACCCTCGCTGTGTTTGCAAGGTGGGTGCAGAGCAGCGTGTGCCTGGTCAGAGGCTCAGGAGCCTGGCCCCGCTCAGCGCTGCTCCGTAATCTCCGCTCAGTGGGACTCGCTGGTACGAAGCATGCCAGGCAGTTGCAGAAGCAGAGGTGATATTAATGGGGTCTCAGCTGTGCCTTATCATCACAGAACAGTTTGAGAGGGTCCTGGAGCCACCATGAGAAGTCCCTGTGGGAGAGATGAAGAGTAAATCTATCTTCATATCCTCTGGAATCTGCTTATTGGCACTTGATCCTCTCATTGAGGACAGCTGATGCTTTCCCCTTTCATCAGGCATCTCTGCCAGGGCACTTTTCTCTCCCTCCTTTCAGCTGGTCTGCAGCGGGCAAGGCAGAGCCCGTGATGGGCTGCGAGCACGCTGTAATGCAGTTGAGGCTTGTCCTCTCCTTCCACCCTTTCCACTTGCAAACCCTGGCAACTACTAAGCCAAACTTGGCTATTTCACACATAAGTAACACACTCGGAGTGCTTTACAAATAGTCTGCACTTAATCCTCTAAGTGCCCGCAACTGAAATAGTCAATAAGCCTGGCCTACAAAGTGTTTGTGGCAGTATAAATATACAGATAGGGAGAATTTCAAGTGGAATAATTAAAACAGTACAAGCCCAAATTGTTGACACAGCTCTATAATTATGTTTAAAGATACTTTACAGCCAGTTATCCTTTTCCAGATCCAGCTGTGCAAGCTGAAGAGTTTACATTCCCAGCTCTTCGTCACTGTCCCTTCGCTGGAGATCATTGCTCCCCACAGTGTAGCCCAGGAGGAGACCTGGGGAGTATCTCCTAAGCTGTTGCAGTTAGTCAGCTGGACTACTTCAGACCACATGTGGCTGCACACAGGCAGCTAACTTTGCACCGAAGGGCTCTCCTATCTGTCAGCCTTGCTGAAAGATTGTTACAAGAAGCTAGTGATGATTCGCGAATGGGAAGGTGTGGAGCTGAGGATAGCTGCCTTACAGCTCCAGCTGTGCTAGAAGTGCCACAAGAGGCTGCTGCACTCCAGATGTTGTCCCTTCAGACCATCTTGCTGAACTACTCAGACAAGGGCTCCTCTATTCCTGTCAACCAAAAAGTGCTTTAACGGCAAAGACCTGCAATTTAAGCTCCTCAATGGACTCCGAATTTTAACTAATTAGTGAGATTAGAGAGGCCTGTGATGAGACATTTCCGCAGGAGCTGTATGAAGGTGAGAGGCAGCAGGTGAGGGCGGTTTGCACTGGGGCCAGCACAGTCCTCTGCAGAGTAGGACTGGCCTGTGTGGGGACAACATCTCTACCCTATATAGAGGAGATTCCCTCTTCTTGGTGGAAAAAAAAAAACAATGCTCAGCCTGAAAAACAAACCTCCCAATTATTTGTTATGTTTCACATCCCAGCAGGCTTTCATGCCGCAGAGAATATCTGCTCTGGAGTCCTGCTCTCTTCTGCCATGAGGGTGGCAGCTGAGTTACACACACAGCAAAACCCTAAAAAGGTAAGTCTTCCTCTGGTTCTAACTACTGTCTACCTCTACACCTACAATGACCATCATTTCCCACTGGAGAGTGGTGTGATGGCACCCTACATGCATGGCTACAACCTGTAGTTCTATCAGATTTAAAAGAATTGTGTGGTGCGGTTAATATAAAATCTGGAGAACTGAGGAGGCCTGCAGAGGTGGGCCAAATGAATTTGCTTTTTGAAGCAAGGAGAGAAGTGTTCTCCTCTGCGTTTCCTCTTGTCTGGAAGAAGGTCAGTGGATTTAGAAGACCCTTGTAAGGGTTTTATAAGACCTAGGAAAATTGAGATTGAGCCTCAGAGCCTTTCAGAGGTCAGGGAATGGCAATGATACAGTCTGCACACCTTCTTTTAATTTTCATTGTCCATTGCAATGAGTAATGTTTCCAGTAAGCAGTTGCAGCTGTTTGTCCCCCCAGGA